AGTCGTGAAGATTTATTTGCTCTGAGATACTTTTTTCTAGAAATTGAGAAAGAAATTTTGATTATAAATAAAGTCGAATTTATAGTCGAACGCATGCTTTTTGCAGAGATCAAGCTACCTAACATATAAATGAAATAGATTATGCTAGCTATCGATTGAATAGAAAGCAAAAAGTCAGACTAAACCTCTAGATAACCCTCAAGCTTTTTTGAATGACAGAGAACTAAAACAGGCAAACTTCCACAGGAAATTGACAAAGTACCAGAAAGAGCAACGGTGCTTTTTAAAAATACACTTTATTTGCTATAAATATTGTAAACATTAATGTGAGGTTTACTCTTGATCGGTTTTTCATAGTTTTGAATATTTCAAGGGAAAATGACCAATGTGTAGGAGGAAGAAATAATGAGTTTGATGTCGCGGTTATTAGGCCTACTTCAGGAAGATATAGCAAAGTTTGGTTACTGATTCAACACATCCTATTTCAAATGTTCATTATTTTCAACTCACCTCAATTTTTTTTCATCAAAGCGTCAAGAAGTTCAATCAGAAATTGTGCAAATTTGTTTTTTACTGCTATAGATTTTATAATGTGTGCATTATGATGCTTCTTTAGGTTGTGTTTTTAGGCATAACCGTAACGTGTTTTTGATTGAAAAAAAAGATTGCCGTGATTGATATAAACTCGTGTTAATTTGCTCCAAACTCTCTCTGATTTTATTTTGATCTGCTTGGTTCAAAGATCAGTGGACTTTAGCTTATCAATTTGGATGATTATTCTGTAGTTTATTCTAACTTCTGTCGCAACGCTGCTACTCTACACAAGTCATCAAATAAATTTTGAAAGAACTAGTCTTTACAAGTACAGTAATAAATAAATAACTTACTATAAGTATGCTTTTCACTTTGTCGAAGTTCCTGAAAAATTGCAAAGAGATATTATAAAATAATTTGCGAAACTGTTAAGTTTACTGGTTAGTCACCTTCTGTCAGTCAGGTGCATATCTTTATACCGTATAAAGTAGTTGAAATTTATTTAAATTTATGATCTTGCTGTAAAAAGAAATATCTTGCTTTTCTGGTAATATCTGAAATTATCTTTGCAGTAGTTAAGACAGCCTAACCCTATTATAGCAAGCCACATTTGGTTTAACCGAGTCGTTGTTACAAATTCTTTTGTAAGGATTCATAACTGAAA